CGATAATGATATTTCACAATTAATCATAATTTTTTGAATTATAACTTAACCTTCAAAAATTATAATTTAATCACTAATTATTGTATTTTTCAGTATGATATCTTCTTCGATGCCATAAACTTACCAAACAAAGTGAAGAAGAAGAATATTATTGTGCAATTAAAATGGACCCCAGCCACCTTAGCTGCTTTGTGGGTTGAGCCGGTCTTGGAAAAAACCCAAGACCAATTTCAATTAATAGAACAACTAATTAATTCCAAATAATTCTATTTGAACCTAACTTGCATAGCAAATAAAAATAATTTATGCAATTTTTATTGTTTATTTTTATGTGTTGATTAATAAAATCTGTATGAAAGAATAACAATAAAGTGCTCCGATGAACATGTTTGAATAAAGTGCTCTTGAATTATCTCTTATGGAGAAATAGTTCTAATCCGTACCTGAACGCACTATGAAACGTAAAATTCAAACATCTAAAAAATCGATCTCACTATATTAAATTTTTTCAACATGTGTATACTATTGGATAATGTTTGAAATAAAAACTATATTAAACTACAAATCAATTAAATATTAAATGATTGAATATGTGATAAAAATGAGTGATGTGATATTTTTAGGGGATAAAAATTTAAATTGCTATATGTTTTATTATATTGATTTAGGCTCTTATCGGACCTTTAAAAAAGTAAAAAATTAAAAGAAAAAAAGTTTCATTAACAATGCTATATTTACCAGATTTTTAATCAAATTTTGGATCTCAATTAATGTGAATCATATGATCAACAAGTCCCACAAAATCTCATTAATTATCCAATAACTATTAATACACCACATTATTCGAGATCTAAAATTTGTTAAAAGTTATGGTACAGAAAAAATTGCCTATGAGTTGTAGGTTCATTCTTCAGTAGGGCACGGGGGTCAGAGTTAGGGATTCTTTCCGCTGCTTGTTGGGAGCTTACAGTTTTATTTTCTATTTCACTTTCCGTTGAGGGTTATTTTCACCATTCTCTCGCGACTGATTCCCTATAAGTCACCCAATAGTACTTAGCATCTGTAAAGTAACTCTTGCTGCTTTACATGCGATTCCAAATGCCCATGCTACACGACAACTTTCATATCAATGATGAAAATTTTCCAATCTCAAAATATGCATATCAATGGCTCTTATAGCGAGGACAATTAATGGAAGGGCCCATTAAATGACACTATCAAATAGATATCATGGACATGGTGTTCTAGTTGTGGGGCATGGACATGGTGTTCTTCGTGAAAAAAAACCCTTGTGCTTCCTTCTTCAGCATTTCTATTGATTGATTGCACAATGCATGGTAGGTGTGCAAAATCAATTCTTATTTTTTCTAGATACATGTGGTAGGTGAGCAAAATAATTTCTTATTTTTTCTAACTTTAGACCAACATGTGCTCAATGATGGATGAGACTCATCTAGGTGTAAAAATTTATTTTTGATTAGATAATGTTTACTGACCAAATATTTATGCTCCAATTGATATGATAAAAAAATTGAATGATGAAAAGTTAGAGGGATAGATAAAACATTATATTGGTAAGGAACGAAAATAAGAAAGATGAAAAAGTAGATGAATGAATTTTCCTTCCAACTCACCAAAATCGGAAGAAAAATATATGAAAAGTTAATTATTTATGTTGAAATGTATCTTATTTGTTATATGTCTTTTGATATATACATATATTATGTAAAGTACTATAAAATATGTATTGGAGTAGGGTTAGATTTGGGTTGATCCTTCCACGTTGCATGCCAATTAGTTAGCCCAACAACATTTCTTTCTCCATTTCTTTTAGAAAAGTTTTTGTATATATAGGCTCTTATACCACATGTACCAGATATAAAATTTAGACCCTTTCTTTTTTAATTTTTATGAGGATGGGATACTTGTTATGTCTTCTTGACATCAAGTTGTTTTGGGTTCTGATATTACTGATAAGATCATGACTCATAAATAGTTAAACTCAAACTTGGTCCAAAAGCTTAAACCCTAGATCGAATAGTCTAATCTTTTTATATGAAACCATCCATCCTATTTTGTTTCTTTTGGTTTTTTCCAATATGAAATTGATTTTCATTTGCTATCATGGGGTTTCCAACTTCCTTAGCTTAACAACCCTCGCTGGCTTTTGATAAAAATAAACCTAGGTACTACTGTTATAGCAGAGGACAAAATAGAGGCTGTAGATGAGAAAAACAAGTCAATCACATTTGGGCTCATCGGTGGAGAGGTTACAAAGTATTTCAAGGAGCTTCAAAGCCACACTCGAGGCTATTTCAAAGGATGGTATGAACGTAGCAAAATGGACTCTGGAATATGAGAAAGCAAGTGAGGATATCCCAACTCCACACTCTCATCTTGACTTTCTATTAAATGGTTGTAAGGAGGTGGACGCTTACTTCTCAAAGCATGAAAAACAAGGATTTTGATATTTTTCAATGTACTCTTTCAGTTTTCTTAATGCAAATCATCCTCTATGTATAAGTAAGGGATCTACTTATATATATTGAATCAATAATCTAATTATTTCATGATCCACGAGTTATCAATGGAATCCATTGTGAATTTGTAGTGCAGTGAATAATCAAGAAAAAAAAGAGAACAATAACAAATAATAAATACGAGAATTGCATGGTTCAATAGGAATTCTTCATAAATTGTATACTGCTGGCAGTTTGTATGTAACATATAATATTGAAGTGAAGATAACTCCTTACAGATAAACATTATTTGAATCTAAAAATTTGATTTAATTTGCTGACACAATGATGTGGCTGAATAGGAATCATTAGATCACCACTAAATTCTAATATTTGATGGAGTTTACAGTCAATGCAAAGATCACAATAAATTAGATTAATAAATTAAATCAAACTTTTAGGTCTCAATAACATTGCTCTTCCTTCCATTGTTCTAAGAGCTTACAATTTCATTTTCTTTTTCACTTTCTGATGAAGGTTTTTATTACCATTCTCTTGCGGTACTACTTCACTATAAGCCACCACAGAGAATTTAGCATTTGTAAGGTAATCCTCGCTGCTTCACGTGTAATTCCACGTGCCTATGCTACTCGACAACTTTCATATCAATGACAAAAAATTTTCAATCTCAAGATATGCATATCTATGACTCTCATCTCGAGGACAATTATTAATAGTGTTGATTATTGGCCTTTCCAATCATTGCCCCCCAAAATTTAAACAAAAAAAAAAAATCTGGAAGACAATTATTGGAATGACACTATCAAATAGATACCACCCACAACCCCAGCACTGTGGGCCATAGGGCAAACCCTTGTGTTTGCTTCTTCAGCATTTCTATGGATTGATTGCACAATATATGGTTGGCGTGCAAAATCAATTCTTATTTTTTTTTAGACTACTAATGTGCATTGCATGTGAATAATTTTCATACACGAAAATAATAGAAAGTCTTAGTTGTTTTTCTAATTATAAGAATTGTAAAGTAGTTAGAGTTCTATTTTTTAGAATTTTGTAATTGAGTGTGGATTCTAGTGATGTTTGAAAAATAAAATTTTTTAAAATTCATTGGTTTATGATTCCACTTATAATTCAATGAATGAAATTAAAATAATTAGTCTGAGTAAATTTTAAGTGAAAAGTCTACAAGAATGGTGGTTTCATTTATTAGAATCTTAATACAGTTACGACTTATTTATAGGCACGGATTAACAACCCTATATTTGGTCTAACTAAAAAATTTAGTCTGAGTAAATTTTAAGTGAAAAGTTACGGTTTAAAAAATACCGCAAAGAAGTTAGAGTTAAAAAAGTCCCCCCAAATGGTTTAAAGTGTTACTTAATAAGTTGAAAAGTTGGAAAAGTTCAATTGAAGTGACTTTTTAATTTTTTTGGCTTTTTTCATATCAAAATATTAAAAAAAAATTATGTATATATAGATTAGGAGTGTCCATGGGCCGGGACGGGCTAGGCTAGCGGATTTTATTTTTGTTGGGCTTGGTAACGTAGGCTCAAACCCTTATTCGGGCCAGTTATTTGACTGGCTAGACAGGGCTTCAAGTAGAGATAGACTAGCAACAATTCAACCCGCCACTCAATTAGCAGACCTTTTTTTTTAATCTATATACAATTTTATTTAAAAACTTTCAACTTAATATTTTTTTAAATTGTATATTTCCATTAGAAATAGAGCCAAAATGAATGTAAATAATAAATAATTTTATTTAAAAAAAGGAGAGTTATATATTACTACCAAATTATCAAAACTTCAATAGTTAATTTCTTTCAAACAATTCGATGAAAGGGTAAGCTCAAGCCCTCTCTTGAAAGATATTAGGATCGGGTTTGGGCGGGCTAACTATCGAGTTTTAGACCTATTTTTTTTGGGTCAGGTAATAGGATCCGTAGACAACCTAGTCATGGACATTCCTATTATAGATTATGTGTAATAGTTTCCAAAATATGAATTTTAAATTTTTTTTACGTAATAGTAAGCTCTTTTGAGTCCCAAAAAACTGTTATATAAATTAATAACAAAGCCACTGGCCAAATGGACTTCCCTTATTTTACACCAATTCTCTTAAAAATTATGTATTTAAGTTAGTTAAATCTCAATTTATACCTTCAAAAATCAAAAATTTTAATTTATACTTTCAAAGATAAAAATTTGTATTAATGTGCACCCCAAAGATAAAAAAATCTCAATTTATACACTTAAAAATAAAATTTTATATCAATGTACACCCCTAAAGATAAAAAATCTTAATTTACACCCTAAAAAAAAAATTGAGGGTACAAATTGAAATTTAAGGGTGCAAATTGATACAATTTTTTATTTTTGATATAAATTTAAATTTTTTATTTTTAAAAGTTTAAATTAAAATTCGAATTACCTTTCAAAATACAACTTGCAATTAACCAAAATTAATATTTCGTACTATTCTGGACACGATAAGTTTACGTGACACTCGAAATTGGCATTGTCTTTCACCACTTTCTCTCTCCTCTCTTATGTCTTGAGAGAGTTGTACTTGGTGGGCTTGCGACCGTATTTTTCAGACAAAAAATGGCTAATCTTGCTGGTAAAGTTGAGGCTGAAGTTGAGATAAAATGTGATGCTGATGAGTTTTTCCATAGCTGGGGTGGTAAGGCACACCAACTGCCAAATTTGTGCTCTGAAAAATTGCACAACGTTGAAGTACATGAAGGTGACTGGAAGACAGAGGGTTCTGCTAAGCTCTGGACATATGTTCATGGTAAGGAAAACACAACTCATAAAAATATTTGTTTCTGTTAGTCTATTTAATTTCCAGTATGAGCTGCTGTTGCTAATTTCAAAATTATTATAAAAGTTTCTTACAATAAAAAAGAGCACCGATAAAAAACTGTTATCCAACAATAAACTATTTACCAATTAATTTTTTTTTTTAACCTTTAAAGCTCAGATCTGCTCTTCTTTCCTTAATTTTGCGTTTGTGTGTGATCGATTGTGTGGGTTTGTGTCTGGGTGTGTAAGTGTGGATCTATGTGTCTGCGTTGGTGTGTGCAAGTGTAGATCTATGTGTGTTTGAATTTCAAGTTGATTGAACTGTATATTGTCATCGAGTTTCAGTGTAACCGAGTTGTATATTGTGATTTAGTGTGGATCTGTGTTTTCTTTTTCTAATATTCAGTTTAATAATATAAAGCTAATAATTGTGTCAACCAAGAAACCATTAGTAAACATATTTTTTGTTTTTGTTTTTATTATTTATTAAACATAAATAACTATCACACATGTTTTGTATTTTTATTTTTTATCACAGAAAAAATAAAAAATATTTTTTATTTTATTTTTTGACTAGAATTCTTTGTTTTTTTTTTTTTGGTGGGGGAGGAGGAAGGGGTTTTTGAACCGGCAAGGAGTACCATTTTGGATTAACAAATTTGTTAAAAATTAAAGAATTAAGAGGTAGTGATTCATCAAATCAAAATTTTAAATCTATTTTACATTTTCTTATGGGTAGTTAGTGAAGTAGTGAAGTTCATTTTATATATTTGTAGTTTTATAATGAATGACGATACCATGCGAAAGTAATAACGAAATGCCACCGTTAAGCATGGAGACTAAGTCACTGAGTCAAATATTTATTCAACTGCAAGTGACTGGACTTTGCTTTTGTGATAACCTTAGAGGGAAAAGTGGAGACTTTGAAAGAAAGGCTCAAAATAGACGAGGAAAACAAGCACCTCACTGCTGATGTAATAGAAGGAGATCCCATGAAACTCTACAAGATCTACAAGGTCTCCTTACAGATTATAACAAAGGGTCAATCCAGTTTTGCGAAATGGTCCATAGACTATGAGAAAATCAACGAGGATGTTCCTGCTCCAACGGCGTACCTCGACTGGATTGTTAACAGTAGCAAACTCGTCGATAAATCGCTTCTAAAGGCATAATTTGATCATCATATAAGGTTATACATTCTACTATAATGCGATTATAGTAGCAGTGCTATTTTTAATAAAGCTCTAAAGAAAGCTTTGTATCAAAATAATAATGTGGTTGCTTTCTTGTTAATATATATGTTTGTAATTGCATAGGAGACCAGATTTTAATAAATTGTATACTGCTGGCAATTTGTATGTAAAATATAATATTGCAGTGAAGATCATGTGGGTTTTTATATTGGCAGGTATTAAAATTTGTTAAAAGTTTTGGTATAGAAACAGGTACCTATGAGTTGCAGGCTCAATGTTCAATCGGGCAAGGTCTCAAAGCTCGGAATTCTTTCCAGAGTAATAATATTATTTGGACTTAAAAATTTGATTTAATTTGTTATATAATGATGTTATTGAATAGGAATTATTAGATTATCATGAAATTTTAATGTTTGATAAAATCTACCATAGTCAATTAGGTCAGATTTTTAGCATTGCTCTTCCTTCCATCGTTCAAGAGCTTACAATTTCATTTTCTTTTTCACTTTTAGATGAAGGTTTTTATTACCATTCTCTTGCGGTACTACTTCACTGTAAGCCACCACAGAGAATTTAGCATTTGTAAGGTAATCCTCGCTGCTTCACGTGTAATTCCACGTGCCTATGCTACTCGACAACTTTCATATCAATGACAAAAAATTTTCAATCTCAAGATATGCATATCTATGACTCTCATCTCGAGGACAATTATTGATAGTGTTGATTATTGGCCTTTCCAATCACTGCCCCCCAAAATTTAATAAAAAAAAAAATCTGGAAGACAATTATTGGAATGACACTATCAAATAGATAGCACCCACAACCCCAGCACTGTGGGCCATAGGGCAAACCCTTGTGTTTGCTTCTTCAGCATTTCTATGGATTGATTGCACAATATATGGTTGCTGTGCAAAATCAATTCTTATTTTTTTTAAGACCAGTAATGTGCATTGCATGGGAATAATTTTCATACACGAAAATAATAAAAAGTCTTAGTTGTTTTTCTAATTATAAGAATTGTAAAGTAGTTAGAGTTCTATTTTTTAGAATTTTGTAATTGAGAGTGGATTCTAGTGATGTTTGAAAAATAAATTTTTTTGAAGTTCATTGGATTATGATTCCACTTATAATTCAATGAATGAAATAAAAATAATTATTAATATACTATTCATATTTGCAATTTTATTATAATTAGAAATTAATCAGGTATATTAGAATAAAATTTAATATACTACTTTATAATGTATATTATAAAACATTTACAATCTATTTCCACACAAAATCTTAATACAATTTGAAAAGTTTTCTATAACTAAAGAACTATGCTGATATAACATAAATTGCTTACAAAAATATATATATGATTATTTTTTATCCTAAAAATAAAAGGGTTAATTTTTGAACACTATATTAAAAAATTAAATGGTGCACACATTTTTTTAGGGTAATATAGTCAATTAAATTTTTTTTATAGAAACTGATATTTATACATGAAAAATAGATCACTAAAATAGATGATAGAGACAATTTGGAGATTTTAATATATAAGGATATGATGATAATTTAGATATTTAATTATGGAAGGATGAAATGACCTTGTAATTTTTTATAAGAGTAAAATAGTGAATTAAAAATTTTTTATGTTAAAATATTTTTATTAGTAGTATTGATAGTTGTTGACGTAAATATACATATATGTCGTAGGTGAGCAAAATAAATTCTTAATTTTTCTAACTTTAGACCAACATGTGCTCAATGGTGGAGAGACTGATCTAGGTGTGAAAATTTATTTATGATTAGATAATGTTTATTGAGAAAATACCTACATGAATAAAAATGTTGACCCGACTTTGGAGAGAAGTAAGTTTTAGACAACTTGACCCGACTTTGGAGAGGTTGATTCTTGGTTGAACTATATTTTACTTTTTTTTTTTTTTGAGAGGGGGAGGGGGACTTGAACCCTTAACCTTAAGATGATAAAACTTTTATAAGATAAGGAGTAAAATTAGACCAAAGGTCCATTGATAACTATATATTACTTGATAGGTTGTTAGAGCATGGATTTCACTTTGAGAGTGTTACTTTTTCTATTTGATTGAATTGGTGCATGTGATACCAAGAAGATGTGACGGGAAAAAGAAAGTTGCCAAGGAGATCATCGAAGCCATTGATGAAGAAAAGAAGCTAGTCACATTCAAGGTTATTGAAGGAGATCTCATGGAACTTTATAAGACCTTCATTGCAACTGTTCATGTTGATACGCAGGGTGAAAGCAACGTGGTGACATGGACTTTCGAGTATGAGAAGCTGAATGAGAATGTCGAAGATCCCAATACATTGATGGGCATGTGTATTAATATGACCAAAGACATTGAAGCTCACCATCTCCAGCAATAGACATTCTCTAAGATGTATGGCTTATTGACGATACCAAGTTCTTGTCTGGTATATGAATGTTTGAAAGTGTTATGTGTGACTATTTTCTGCTGCAAATAATGTGTATCGGCCAAGAAATATGGGCTTTGTGAAAGTTGTGTGAAGGATTATTTTTTTTCCCAAGTACTAAATGAGTATGTAGGAATATCTTATTGGCGGTGCCTGTGTATCTTTCTATAGATGAATAAAAATGTTGTTATTTAAACCTAATTGATTAAGTTCGGTGAATTTGGTCGCAATAATATCGTGTGAATAATGACTTGGTAAGTCCTCTCTGTCTCTCACACACACACACACACACACACACAAAGCACTAGTGACCAACACTCGTGGATATTCTAAGCTAGTATAATGTTTTTGCTAACCTAATCAAATAATTCAGAGATCTGGAGGTGTTTTGATGTTCGCAAGGCTGATTGGAAGAACATGAAGAAATATAGCTAGAAAAACCCCATATCAAATGATGCTTGAACTCCATTGTAGAAGTAAAATTAATTGTAACATTCTATTGCCATTTGAAATTGGAAGTAACTGTAAGAAATAGGAAAAAATTAAGGCACCGCATTAGACGGTGACTGAAATAAAGAGATCAAGGCATGTAACTCGGATTGATTTAGCTATCACAACAGGTGGAGATTTATTCTACGTAGAAAAACAAGCACAACACGCATAGTTTCCGAAGACTTAAAACAAGCTCAACACGCATAGTTTCCGAAGACTTATCCATCATCACTTATGCTACTTAACAATGAATTTATCTCAAATTCATATTTGAGACACCTTCGCTGACAAAATTAACGAAAGACTCCAGGAATGCAATCAAATTGCACATACATAGTAATATCAATTAGTAACATCACATAATATTCACTTATCTCTAATACGTTCAATGTTCATGTCTTTTATTTTAAATGTTATTTTTTTTTGTCACCATTCTGTTCGTGTTATTATTATGTTGAATGTTTCTATTTTTAGTTTTAAATGTTATTATTTTTGGTTTTAAATATTATTGTTTTTGGCAACGATATCTCCTGTGAGGAAAAAAGGCGATTGGGGGTAGTTTAAACATTTGAATTAAAAATAAACTTAAACACCCAAAATAAATTTTGAAATGGACTTATACTTGTGGTCCCATAAATCCTATCATGGAACTATACAAAAACATATGAATCATGTGATGTGTAGTAGTACTTTGGGCCACCGAACCCCAAGGACAATAATGGTGCCATAGTGGGTATCCAATCTCAATCATTCTCTCTTTCTTGCTCACATGTGAATGTAGATATCCTGTTATGGAAAAAAATAGAGAAAAAAATATTAATAATGCTATGTTAATCAAATTTTTTTGACTAAATTAAGAAGTCAAATGACATGACAACATATTATTTAGAGTTTTTATTGGGGTACAAATAACATGACATCAAATAAATAAGTCCAAGTCAAATATCATATCATTTAAACTTTTGATTTAATTTAAAATTTTGGTCAGTATAATATTAGCGAAAAGATATAATAGAGATATCTCACCGTCCACGTTTCACACGTTGGAAGATGTAATCCTCAGTCAGGGGTCAGTTATATAGAGACCAAAGGACCAAGTGTTTTTATCCACCACTTGCCTCCACTTTATTTCTGCTGTGCATTGTTTGATAATAGTTGGGTTAGAAATGGGTCTTATCGGTAAGGTGATAGGGCAAACGGAGATCAAGTCCGATGGATATTTGTTCTATGAGAGTTGGAGATACAGACCAAACCAGATATCATATATGAGCCCTGGTAATTTGCAAGGTGTTGAGATATACGAAGGTGAATGGGGAACCGTGGGATCTAGAATGATCTGGTCCTATACCTTTGGTAAGTCACTTCTTTTTCTAGATTTATGTTGTCCGAATTTGATATTGACAATTGACGTGCAAGTATACACGATTAATAAGTAATAAAGTGATAAGTAGAGTATCGTTCCCACGGAGAAATATTGCTAATAACTTCCAAGTACTAACTTTATATCAATTCAATTTTATTTAAACAATTAGAATTGAACTATGAAATGACTAAATTAAAACTAAATACAAACTTAACAATCAAGGTTAAATTTACCGGATAAAAAAATATAAGATTACAACTTCCTCAAATGCTTCGTATAAATCTTTAAAACTCTCTTTCCAGTCAATTAATCAAAATAAGTTGTTAATTGAGAACTCAAAGTTATTTATCAAACCTCTTCCGATAGTTAGATAAAATTATCTCTTCCAATTAAATTACTATATTCCTATGCAAAATAAGTTGGAATAGATTCATTAAGTTCAAACTCTCATAAAAGTTACACACGGCATATAAGTATATTTCTATCCTATACACAAACCCAACTATTCAATCCTAAAAAGAATAAACCAGATGCATGTCATCATATTCATATCTAAACATAGAATTCATCTCCCAATTTCATCTAGGTTATAAAATTAATTATTAGTCATACAATCATATATTAATCACAAAATATGACAAACAACTCATGTATGATTAATAGAACTAGAAACGAGAGTATATCAATTTAACTAGACATTAAATTCCGTTGCAATCTTAATAAAGATTTAGCTCATAATGTAATTGAAAAACATCATTCTCAAATTAAACAACATCTCAAAAAATTAAGAAGTAAAAGTAAGAGAAAAGAATAAAAACTTAGTTGCAATCTTCACTTTCTCTCTAGCCTTCGATTTTGATTTTCTTCGTGTTGCTTCCTTCGATTCTTGTTTTCAATTTTCTTTCAATCCCTTGATTTTTCCAATGTTATCAACCCCCAAAATCAGAATATCTCTTCCCAACTCAAACCCTAACTTATATGTAGCTTTAGAGTCAAATTTTGGGTCATAAACAAGTCAAAATTCGCGTCACGAACCAACACAAGCACAGCTGCGCCAAAAATGGTGCAAGGGCGCTGAAGCACTGCCTTGATGGCGCAGGGGCGCGCCCCCCCTTTTTGGCCTAAAATGCCCTTTATGCTTCCTCTTCAACAATCCAACCTTTAAGCTCCAATTTAACCTTGTTTTCTCCCAAATGATCATCCCTACACCATAACATCAAAACACACAAAATAACTAAAAAAGAACATAAAATAATTGAAAACTTGCAATTTCATCAAATCAAAAATACTCAATTCGTAGATATAAAATCCACTCATCAATTTACTTACAAGTAAAGTCTGCTTTCATCTCTCAAGGTTACGAGATGTGTGATTTCATCCATAGGTGGGGAAAAGAAGGTTACGAGAGATATTGTTGAAGCAGTTGATGACGAGAAGAAGTCAATCACTTGGAAGCTGGTTGAAGGAAGCCTCTTGGATCTTTACAAGACCATGATTATAACTGTTGATGTTGATACAAAAGGTAAAAGCAGTGTGGTGACATGGACTTTTGAGTACGAGAAGCTTAATGAGGATGTCGAAGATGCAAATGCATTGGTGGACTTTCATCTTGTTATGACCAAAGATATTGAAGCTTACCATCTCCGCCAAAAATGATTTGGTTTATTGGTGATGCCAAGTTGTTTTATTATATAAGAAAGTTTTTAAGTGTAAACGGCGAATGTTTTCTCCAAGGAATAATAAGTATGCAAATAATATGTTGACATGTCATTTAGACTCTTTATTTAATCCTAAAATTTGGTCAATGTAACATTACTGATAAATATGTGTCAAGGAATATGTGTTTGGAGAACATTCAACTAAGGATTATCTTATTGGTGTTGTTGGTAAATCTTCTATTTGACTCTCTCTCTCTCTCTCTCACACACACACACACACCCACACACACACATACACACACCGGGTGCACTACAACAAAAAAATTTTTTTGTGATATTAAATTGTTGTTATAAAAAGTTTATTTATCACCGCAAATATTTTTTGTGGCAACTTTGTCTCGTCATAATAAGTGCAACCTCTAAAAAATTTTATGGTGGCAACATTACTTTTCAAATAGTATTTACAGTAGCAATACTCTATTGCAAATAAGACTTCACAAAAAATCGACACTTTTGTTTTTGTCACAATGGTAAAAGTGCAGCCTCAAATACCATTTTGGCTATTGTAAAAAAATAGAAGACTTTGTTGTGATGATTAATATGCCATCTCAAAAATTAGCAATTTTTCTTATTTACATTAAATGAAATGTCTTTACAACGACAACAATGCCGCCACAAAAAACTAACTTTTTTAAAAAAAAAATATGTATTATGTATTGTTGGTAACCAATGTTATATGTCTTGTGCATATATACATTTTCGTCACATAAATTTAAAGGTATACGTCCTTACACCTACACAATTCAATATACAGATAAATACAAGGAAATATGACTAACATTTCTAAAAATATAGCAATATTTTCATATCTAAGAAAAATTCCATTAATTAAGCAAGTGTAAAATGTGCAATTTTGCATAGCATAACAACAATTCATGAGTACAAAAAATTTAGGGCATGTTTGGTTTAATTTTGGAAAACAATTTTTTGTTCTCAAATTTTTGGGAAAAAATGAGATTTGGAGCAAAGAAATAAAAAACAAGTCTGGCTTATTTTCTGAGTTTTGAGGCTAAAATAGAAAACAACGGAAAAAGCTCATCCTCTTTAATGAGGTCCACCCATCGAACTTCCTTAGCATCAAAATATATTTTTTTTTGTTAAAGTATAAAAGTCTTTCACTTAGGCCCTGTTTTCTCCATATCCTCTCTCTCTTTCTCTGTGTGTGTGTGTGTGTAAACGACTGACCGAAGCCAAGGAAATCACTGCTTTGTCATCTTGAGGTTTCTCTACATAAACTTCCTCTTTCAACACACCATTTAAGAATGTTGATTTTACATCAAATTGATAAAGAGAATAGTTCCTTTGTGAAGCAAGAGAAATAAGAAACCTTATTGTATCAAGTCGAGCAACCAGAGCAAAAGTCTCTCGGTAATTGACATCGGGTTGTTGTGAATACCCTTTTGCTACAAGCCTTGCTTTATTTGTTTGAATTGAACCATCCGAATTAAGTTTTGTATTGTAAATCCACTTCACCCCAATGACCTCTTTATTCTTTTGTTTTGCCACCAACTCCCAAGTGTTATTTTTCTCAATCACACAAATTTTATCTTTTATTGCTTTTTTCCAAGCATCTTATTTGATTTTTTCTTCAAAACTTTCAGGTTCAATCACACAAAAATTGCATTTAGCATACACATCACTAAGACTTCTCATTTTTCTTAGAGTTAAACTTGGAGATAAAATGCTTAAACTTGTGGAAGTAGAAGGAGATGAAGGACAGTTGGGTGTTAGAGACATTTGTGGTGGAACTTCAACTTCTTCATTTTATTTTCATGCTCAAAGCTTCCATAAGAGTCATTTTCTATAAGTTTATTATCTCGATTTATGCACAAATTAAGCCAAATTCATTTTGGGGCAGCAAAGAGAGTGTTGAGATATATTCAAGGAACACTTGATTTTGCACATTCTTTTCTTTCCAATTCCAAGAGTCCTTCTCATTAAAGAGAACATCTCAACAAATGATATCTATTACTCCTTGTTGAATCAAGTGAAAACTCTTTGCATCCTTCTTCTTGTTTTCCTTTAATTGGTTCCTTTAATCTTCATATCCAATTTCAATCAAATCCCAAAGATCACAAGAGAGAAATGTAATTTTCATTTTCACACACCAATAATCATAATTTTCACCATCAAAGACGAGAAAAGGTGATTGTTATGCATTGGTAGATATGTTGATTTCACTTGCCATTTCGATCTTCTTAACTAGGACTTTGTTTATCCAATGAAAATTTTCACATCCAGCTAGTTAGTGTCGAACTAGCTCTGATACCACTAATGTTGGCTATAATTTCAACCTTTGTATATTTATGATAGATAAAACAAAGACAATATAACTTAGTCCTTTGAAATAATTTTCCATACATATACTTCATATTTTCAATATACATGTAGGTTGCAAGATACATCTTAACATTCAATATACTTGTTCATGTTGATACAAAGGATGGAGGCGACGTGATGACATGGACTTTCGAGTATGAGAAGTTAAATGAGGATATGGAAAATCCACATACATTGATGGACATATGTATTAATACCACCAAAGACATTGAAACTCACCTTTTTTTTCGATACAATGGAAAAGTCAAAAATAATCAAAAGCCTTTCACATAGGTGATACAAGCACTATCGTTTCTCAAAAGCTCTCCCAATGAGCAAGGTGAGGCGTTGAGGAGCACTAAACCCTCATTATGTTTGACACCCAAATTAGCAAGGTTATTTGAACAGAAATTCCCGTCTCTTTTGGTGTGGTGGATGGGGTAATTGAGCAGGGTGAGGAGGCTTTTGCACTCAAAGATGATCCATCTTTCCAGGTGTGTAGCTTCCAGCCTTGTCGTAAGGAGTCTATTAGCATCTAGAGAGTTGGTCTCCACTATGATCTTCTTCATCCCCTTGGACTGAGTAATCTAAAGGCCCTTATAAATGGCCTATAGTCCAGATTGTACATTTGTGCAGTTAGGAAGTCTTCCATAGAAACCCAGCTTCCAAACTCCTTGGCCACTTCTCACGAGACCTCCAAACGCTGCAGGTCCAGGATTCCCTTCGGAGCATCCATCAACATTTAGTTTCATCCATCCTGTGGGAGGGAAAAACCAACTAATGAGGTTTTTTGTGTAAGTATCATCACAGTTTATATTATTAAGGAAAGAAAAATTAATCTCTTGGGCCATAAGCCAAGCGTTTCTGGTAGTGACACTTGGGGGGGGGGTGTTGAGTTTGTTTAAAGCACTCCTTGTTCCTGTTCTTTCAGATGTGCTAGTTGGCCGAGGTAAAAACTATAGGCGTTCCACTCCTTTCCATTTTTCTTTTCTCTTGTTTTTGTGATTAGCAATAAGCCATTTCTGCAGGTCATTATCAGCCTAGAAACTGGACCAGTTGTTATCTAGAAAAACTCTCTAAACTGCCTGAGCTATGGAGTAATCCCTTAGGATATGCAAGGTGGATTCACAGTGGGTTTTACATCTCCCACAGGTTGGATCATCAATCATATTTCTGGTAGCTCTAAGATTGTTGGAAAGAATTCTGTCACTTTGGACAATCCAGAGGAAGAACTTGAGTTTCTGCGGGATTTTCATGTGCCAAATCCAGTCCCAGTTTAGGGTCGAAGGGTTATTATCCTCTCCAGAATCAGAGATCCATTTATACGTGGAACTAACCGAGAAATTACCATTACTTGAAATTCCCCAACATGGAGTATCCTTCATATCGCAATTATTAGGGATACAGATGAGCTGAATATCTGAGAAGATGTTAGGGGAAAGAAGCATACCTGGGAGATTCGAGTTCTAGTAACCTGAGGAGTTGATGAAGAGTGGCACT